CTCTTGGATCCGAAAAGGCGAGAAGGAAGTTCATCAAGCACAAGCAGCCTCAAGATTCACCAACAGGAGGAGGGGAGATCGTGAAGTATGAAGCTGAAGATTGGGAGAGATTGTTAATGACTGACGAAGAGATAGAGAAAAACATTCCGCTCTCGGGCCAAGCAACAGATTCGAAAGGCAAGAACTTGATGAATCCATCAGAAGAAGAGATGATGAATCCAGATTACTTAATGTCTTTCCCAACTACAGGAGAAGTAGATGGTATGATCAAGCAAGAAGAGACATGGAGTATGGGTTTCGATACTACAATCCCGAGTTTCAGCAACGACAATGTATGGGGAAACACATTGGACTATAATGTTTCAGAGTTTGGTTCTGTTGCAGCAACAACAAGTGATGATGGTTTACCTGATGTCTGCTGGGAACAATTTGCTGCAGGAATCACAGAGAATGGATTCAACTGGCCAACCGGTGATGATCATTCGCCGATGGATGATCCTTAAGAGCTATTCATAGTTTAGACTAAAATCCCGCTATATTATTCGGGTGAACTATAAATTCATTATTCATTTTGAATGCACTCTTATTACATAATATAATTATGAGTTTGATTGTGCCATTTTCTTATACAGAATCTAGGTCCTCTTCACTTTTGATTTGATTTTGAAGGATCACACAAAAACTGTGTTTTTTATTCTGTTTTTTATGCCTTTTTGGAGTAATCAAATGTTACAGGTCTGAAGTAGAACAATGTTTCTTTGAAGCTGTCATGTTCCAGGTATGTTCTGTGTCTTGGTACTGTTACAGTTTTGATTATGAGAAATTTGAAAAAGTAAGTGATTTTCTTAGGTAAACACATACAAAAACTCAAAGATTAATGTGACTCAGGGTCCATACAGTTGTGTCCTTTGTTCCATTAAGGAGAGTTTCAAGGCACCATAAACCAATGGTTCAAGCTTGACAAAACTTGGCCCTTCCAAAATTGATCCCCAAGGCATAGGTTGCTGCTTCCCGACTCGACCAATGCGGCTCACTTATCTTAGCTTCAACAAAACTTCTCACAAAAGGGACTATATCATCTCCTACCGTTCTGGCGACAAGGCCAAGACAAGTCCCTGCAGCTATGGATAGGTTCGATACATGATCGCCTTGGTCCTGCTTCAGCAAAGTCTCTAGCAACACGGGAACCAGATGAGGAAGAGCCCACCTAATGAAACCAGAATGGGGAGGGGACCAGTCGCTCGGATCAGGATTCTCAAACTCTTGAAGCTCTATCTCGACATTGCAGATTGAGCTCCAGAACTCAAGTGCTTTGAGGGCAACACTTTCTTCATCACCATTGATTGCTTCTGATGTAAGCAGACCGATTGTACCCATGTACTGCTCCATCACCTCGTAGTATATTGATGCTATTGACACAAGACACTCGAAAGCTGCATGCCTGATCTCTGCTTCATGGGACATGGCTTTGTCAAACACTATCCTCATGATGAAATCTCTATGATCTTTATAGTCAAAGTTCACTTGAGCGATATCCAAGGCATGATGCAATGCCTTTATCGCTGCAAGATGAACTTGTGTGTTAGTTTCAGACTGTTGCGTTCCATTGATTATCGCTTGAAGAACGGTATTCACTTCTTCTTGCACGAGGTCCTCATGAGATATATCCTCACAGAGATAGCCTAGAGTTTCCAACGTAGACTGCTTCAACGTTGCAGGGCTAGCTTGCTCGCTCATATTGCTAAGGAGGGATTTTAAAAGTTCAGGCCACTGCTTTATAGCAATATCTATCGAAGCCACTTTTGCGATAACTTTAGCCGAAGTATGCCTTGCCTCCAGAGAAGATGAGCCAAGTTGTTAGTAGTAGTTCCTTGATCTGTGATTTGATCACCGTGTCGTCGATTTCAATCCATTGTTGCACAAGATTATCTTTTGTGGATGCATCCAGATAGTTCATAAGCAGAGTACCAGCTAATCGGCGTGACTCAACAGGTTTATCGTCGTTGGCGAGCTCAAAGAAGAGTGATAGAAGAAACTGAGGTAAGTCCTGCTCTTGGAATGCCGGAGTCTTCCTTCGGCTCCAGTACGGACTCCTTCATCAGCTGACATGGCAGTCACAAGGAATTGAGTGATCTCCATCGCCATTATCCCTTCTAAACAATAAAGACACACACAAGCAGAAAATAACTTAGAGGAGCACAAGCAAGAACAACACAAATTAAATCAAGATTAGCAAAGTGAATAAAGACCAAGTGACTCGCAGCTTAAAACTAGGAAGCCTCTTATTCCTAAATCAAAAGCTGCACTTTTTTTAAGACACGACCTGGTAAGGTAGTGCTACCACATAAACACACTAGTGTTTTTTTTGCCAAACCCTAATAATAATCTATAATTCGATACAAGTTGAGAGAGAGAAAGAATGATTATCAAAGGGATAAATAAGAGAAACCAAACAAGTTCCAATATGCACAAACAGAGGAATGGAAACTTTCCAATTATTGAAAAAAAAGGAAACAAGAAATTGTTTGATGTCCTTTTATATACTTGAACTTTACGTTTTCTCTGTTCTTTACTTTTGTTCTAGTGACATATTGTGTTGTCTAATACTTTTCTTGCTGAAAAGGTTTCAAGGGAAACAGAGATAATTAGGGTTTGACAAAAAAAAAAAACACAAAAACAGAGTTTGACATGGCAGAGACAGGGAAGAATGAGCAATCTCTGGATCCAATGCCAGTTGACATATTGTTCGAGATCCTATTGAGGTTGCCTCTCTAAGAAGGTTCGTTTGCGTATCCAAGTCATGGACAACAATCATTAATGGTCAGGATTTCAACTCGTTTCGGTCTTCCCGGAATAAGATGCCTCGCTTGCAACAACAAAGTAAGTACTTTTGATGAAAATTGGTTATTTTTCTCTAAACCAACTCTGGTGTCGACTCCACTGTGCACCTTTGAGCGTGAGCCAAGTCCTCCGAGCCACTTGGTTACCCTTTGGCGTGCTAGGGTTGACCGACGAAAGGGCCGAATCAGTCGGAAACCTAAAGCTCTTGAGCGTAAAGCAGCAGCTCCTCTAGTGGTGGAGTGGAGGAACCACCTGATTTTGTATCAAGTACAAGTACGGTTTGTCGCTTTGAGAATCGGCGATACCTCAAGCCTTGTTACGTCCATGGTTTGATCAGTTTTTTTATATGGTGAAGAACAATCATATGTAATCCTAGTACCGGTAAGTCCATCACCTTGCCTATTGTCCAAAATTCCACTGAATTGATCGCTAGAAGCTTTTTAGGATACGATCCGATCAATGCGCAATACAAAGTCTTGTGCTTGACCAATATTAGACGGTTTTCTGAACACCAAGTCCTCACATTGGGAGGAACTCGAGCTCAAGATTCTAGTTCATGGAGAATGATCCAATGCTCCACTCCTCATTATGCTTTAGGAACAAACTCTGTGTGCATAGATGGCGTTTTGTATTACACTGCTTCACTTTCACATACCATGGAGGAACCACTCTTGGTGGGATTTGACTTGAAGTCTGAAAATTTGGGAATTGTTTCCTTATTTCCCGAGGGAATTGGATCAAGTAATTTGCATGAAGCAACTTTGATAGACTACCATGGAAAAGTAGCTCTTGTCACTCGATACAGCCAAACTAAGTTCACTATGTGGGTTTTAGAGGATGCCGAGAAACAGGGATGGTCGAAAGAATGCATAGATTTTTCTATAGATGCTATTAGGGATTCCCATGGAGAGATAAAAATGTCGGGTGTTTCTGATATGGGAGAGTTTATCTTTGCACCCACCAAATTTCAAGAGTTTGTTGTTTACTTTGTGGATCACAAAAGAAACAAGATTAGAAGAGTTGAGCTAGAAGGAAACACCGAGTATAAATTCAGAGATTTTTATAGAGTATTTACTTTCTTACATTACGTAGAAAGTGTTATGTTTCTCTAGAGAGCGTTTCATGTTTGCTTCTAGCATTCTTTCAAAAAAAAACTTTAATAGTTTGTTTCATTCTTTGTTTTGACTTTTGAACAACATAAAAAGACTTATTACATAATCCACTTAAATTTATTTTTAAATTTCACGTAATAACAATGATTTAAGTGAATAAAAAAGATGATTAATGGTCATTACCCATTAGGGCTTGTTGTGGCTTTGAGTGTAGATGTAGTCCAAGTGAGATTCACTGATCATCCTTCTCTTCATACACTCTTCATCGCTCTCTTCACACTTCTCTTCTCCCATCAACTTATTTAAATAAACCATAATTAATAATAAAAGCAAAAATTAATTAAATACGAATAAAAATGATATTTGTAATGAGAAATTGAATAATCAAAATATTGGATAAAAATATAAGATTGTGGTAAAAGTAATTTACATGCGATAACTCTTGGGCCATCTCCGATGCCATATCTTCATGTGTAGTCCAAGCCAAATTACTGTTCTTGATTCCTTTGTCTTTTACAAAAACGTGAGAATTGGTGACAAAGAAATAAAATTCAACAAGAACATAGAGAATCAAAAAATTATTGTCTTTCTCTCTTTTTTTACTCATCGCTTACCCAAAAAATAGTTCTAGTTAACTATATGTACTATGCATTCATACTGAGATTTGAGCCATGGGTAATTTAAAATGCTTAACATTAAATCTGTGACTATGAACGATTAATCAAAGAAATAGTTATTCCAAATTAGAATTGTGGTTGTGGCTAAATTTTTATCGAGTTTCAGCAAGTTCCACGAATCACATATAGATATTTAAAAATCTTAAGATCTAAAATTCTAAATGATCCATAATATATATTTCAAATATATAAGTATATATACATACATACACTAAAAGTCTAAAAGTCATAATTAAACTTGTAAAGTCGTATGTGTGTATATATACATACACACATATAAAAATATTTAATACCATATATGGACATGCATGATGTTACATGGGCATAAGAGTACCTTCTTCCTCCACTTGCAAAGGACGTTGAGCTGTACGAAGCTCACAGAACT